AATAGAGGCGAATTAGGATATAAATCTAGGGTATATTTCTTATAATAAGGGCTAAAGAAGCGTACCCGCTTTTACCCGGTTAAGCTATTCTTAATAGCTAGTAAGTTCTATAATAAAAATAAGTCTATCTTATTTTACTTTATATTCTCTTTATTATTATAATAACTATTATTTTACGAATTAGAGATAGAAATAGATTAGAGCCGATAGTAGGATATCCTTAATCTAAAAATACCTAATCGTTTATTAATATAGGGCTTTAGACTAAATCTAAATTATATATTTTAACTATAAGTACTTAATTTAAGGGTTAAGACTTAAGTTTATATAATTATATATTATAGTTAAAAGGCTTTTATATAAATATATATTAGGCGTTAGGGTAGGCTAGATACGATATAAATAATCGTACTACTAAGATATAGTCTATAATAGACTTATTATATCTAAATCTAATAATTTATAAGTAATAATACTAAATATTATAGTAAGAAGGGACTTACGAAATCTTTATAAAGATAATATACTAAGTTTAGATATTAAGAATAAGCCGGTTTATAAATATTAACTTAGATATAGAATAGATAAAATTTAATATATATCTACGGTTAATATTTACCTTAATTAAAGTTCGATTATATAAATAATATATTAAAGCTTTAGAACGATATATAGAATTATACTTAGAATCTATAGTATATAGGAGGATAGATTATATAAATTAATTTCGTATTATAATTCGGGCTAATATAGCCGGGTATATTACCTTTACGGTACTATATTCTATATAAGTAAATTAACCGGGTACTATACCTACGGTTATAGTTACCGTCTAGTAATTAAGAATATTAAACTTAATCGAATCTTCGCTCGCCCTTTATATAAGATCCTTAATAGTTACTAGCTTAAAATTATATTAAATTTAATAGGACTTATTAATATTTAATATTCTAAATTTTAGAATCTAATAGACCCGATTTACGCCGTAAACCTAAGATATAAAGTTTAATAGCTTCTAATTATAGTCTATTATAGATCTAATCTTATTTCGTATACTATAGGAACTCCCTAACTTAGTTTACGTATTTTACACTTTCTAAAAGGGTTTTAGGTCTATAAATTAGACTAGAGTAGGATAAGTATTTAACTAAGCAATACTAAGAATTTAATATACTTTAAGGCCCTATAGCGCTAAGGATTATATATTAAAGTTAGGGAGTTCTAATTAGAAGCTACCGGTCGGCGATCTAATTAGCCTTACCTAAAGTGCGATTTTTAACTTTAGTTCGAGCTACTACCCTTTTAATAAGGGTTCTAAGTCTAGGATTTAGACGATATATATTTAACTACTTAGAGAAAGCTCTATAGAAGTTTTAGCGCGAACGGAGTTAAATTACGAGGTGAACCCTAGGTTACTATTTAGCTAGTTTTAGGCTAATAAGCGTACCCGCTCCGCCCTACTTAAGCTTCCGAATAGCTACTATTTGACTTTCGGAATTTCCTCTATATCCTACTAGGTTATAATCCTAAAAATTAGTATTTAGATAGAGATCTATATTATATATAACCTTATAAGTTTCTAAATAGGTTTAATAAAAATTAACGGGGTAACCTAGGGTATAGGTTTTACCTAACCTAAGGGGGCCCCACTTAGGCTTCCGCGAATAAAATACTTTAAATACCGGTATGTTTCGTACTATTAGCCTAACCTAGCCTAGGTTAGGCTACCCCTATGGGATAGAGTCTTCTTTTAAGATAAAAGGAACCTATAAGTAGCTTAGTAACTATAGATTAACGCTAAAAAGTTAGAGATTAACTTATAGATCCTACTCTTAATAGTAGTCTAGATAGTAGGCCTATAAAAAAATCGGAATCTATTAACCCTATTTTATTTTATATAGTTAGGGCGATTTTTTAGCTTTTTAAAAAATTAGGTAGACTATTTAATAATTAAAGTTAGATTTATAGTATTATTAGTAATACTACTTAGAACCTATATAATTAGAGTCTAATATTAATAAGAAAGATAAATAAATCTATACTAAGTTATATATCTATCGTTTCTCTATATAATACTAATAAGAGATAGAATTAATAGTCTTAGATTTATATTTAATCTTAAAGGATTTATTAGTAATTTACTTCTTCTTAGCTATATATAAATAGATAATATACTAATTTAGGTAATATTAGATAGAACGATTTTATTTTAGATATATAAAAGAACTAGAGTTTTAAATATAATAAGTAGTCCTAATAGGATCTATATAAAAAGGAGTTAATAATAGGTTAATATTAGAAGGGTTATAAATCTTAGATATTACTTTAGAAGTAACTAAAAAAAGAGGGTATAGACTAGTCTATAGATAGATTATTAATAGGATTTATATTATAACCCTAACTATAATTATAATTATAACTGTAACTATAGCTATAATCTTTTACTATAATAAAAAAAGATTTATATAAAAATAAATAAGACTTATAAAAGATAAAATAATAAAATATAAAAGGATCGTTTATAAAATATATAAGAAACTATATATAAATAATAACGAAATAATATAAAGGAAGAAGGACTATAGTTAGAAAATTAAGATAAATTCCTTTTTTATTTTAGACTACCTTTATTATAAGGAAGAAACTATATATATAGTACTTTCCCTTTTATTAAGGAGAATAAGTTATAAACCTTATATACTTATTAATCCTAAAAGTATTAAGTAGAATTATTCCTATAGCTTCCCTAAATATAGCTATAAAAATATTAGAAATAGACTCTAAATATCTTTATTTCGTAATAGTCTAATAAATATATCCTATATCCTTAGGAAATAGACTTAAAAGTCTACCCCGATCTAACTAAGTTAAACTATAACTATTAAGTATAGTTTATATATTTACCTAATAACTATTTATAAATTTATTATAACTTATCTAAAATAGCTAGATTATTATTAGAAAGCGAATTATTAATAAAATAGTTATAAAATATTTATAGCTTATATTTTCTTTATATCTATTAAATTCTAATATAAATAGTAACTAATAATTACTATATTAAATATCTATACTAAATTATATAAACTTTTAGTAACTTCTATATAGATCTACTTTAATAACTCTATTTTATTATTTAGAAGAACTTTTAAAAATTTTAAGATAGTAGAAAAATCCTAAATATCTCTTATTATACTAATAGATACTTATATAGAATAAATATAGATCTATTATAATAAAGATCTAAAAATATACTATATTATAAGTCTTCTTATCTATATAATATTATTTATAAAGAATAGATACGATTATATTATACTAATAAAAAATAGAGAAAACCTCTCTCTTAATAATATTAAAGGACTTTAAGTTAGAACGTAAGTAGCCTAGGTACTAGACTAATCCTAGTTCTAGTACTAGATCGCTAGTATCCCGCCCGTTAGCTACTACTATAGCTATACTAATAAGACTCCGGAAGATAGAGAAAAAGATAAACTTAATAGAAACCCTTCTTACCTTATAACTTATACTTCCCTTTATTTAACCTAAAACCCTAGGATAGGTTTTATAGAGAAGAGGGGATAGTTATTACGGTATTTCTTTATTATACTATTTTTACCTTAGGCTCCCTTTCTCTTAGACGGAGGAGACCCCTCCGAATACCCCACGATAACGGGATAGAACTAAGATAATCCGGTCCCGAGAAGCGGGGAAACTAAATCATAAAAGGAAGACACCTATACAGATAGGGAAGGCAAGATTCAGTCTTATAACCAATATAGAATCGAATACCCTTCGTTCTAACTACGTATCCCTCTCGTATCATTATTCACCTAGTCAATAAGTACTGCCTTGATAAATAGTTACCTTAACACTAGAAATAAACTATACGAGGATTCGAGGTCTTAGTAGAGAGGACGAAGCTAAGTGGTATAGCCTAATTATTTATAAAATCTATTACTAGCTCTTTAGTAGTTCCGGGTGTAGTAGGGTCAAATGGGGGTATAGTATCGGTAAGAGATAGCTCTAGCTCGGGGGCTCGAGGGGCTTAATTTAGACGATTTCGGAGGGGGTCTATAGCTATAAAGAAGTAGAAAGGTATAAAAATAAGGTATAGATAGGAGCACTAGAGGTTAGGAGCGCGGTAGGCTAAGATCTATCGATTAAGCATATCTCCCAAAACAGAGGCTATTTTGTGATTATATGACTAGTCAAACCCTATATCACTAAACCCCCTTTTTCGGTAGAAAAAAACTCGATCAAATCAATATCTAGGAATAGCCTTATTTTTGTACTAGAACTCGGCGAAATTAGTATCTAGGAATAGCCTCATTTTTGCACCAAACCCTTTTTAGTAGAAAAAAACTCGATGAAATCAACATCTGGGAATAGCTTCATTTTTGCATGATAGTATAGATAGCGTGCAAGATTCTACATTCGCGATAGGGTGCCCAGATAAGATTCGGGTACTGTCCAAAATACTAGGGGAGTACCATATTAAATACGACAGCCTATGAATAAATTATGGCCAGCGGGAAATATCCCAAAACGGGTTAGTCAATAGTGTGCCGGTAGTAAAAACAGTGTGCTCGTAGTCGGTCTCATAGTAAATCTCGAAATAATCCACTTATTACTGTTAGCCGCGCGCTATATGAAACTCTATGTTACATCTATACCATGCATTGAGAAATAGCGACCTATCAACCACTGGAAACTAGGCGCTCTTGTGATCAGATCATGCATATTCAAGTGAATTTTTTCCCCTTATTTTCCAATCATACTGGTATTAGGATATAGATACCGAAAGAGATATAAAATAGAGCTCGTTCACCCTCCTGGGTTAAGGATTCAGCATGTTTCTAGCGGTCAGTCCTTGAAGTGCCCCGAAATTCCCTTACCTTATTATATATCACCTTTTGGCTAAGGCGAGTCTCATTGTGGGAGAGAGATTCTTTCCATTCAATTAAGCAAGCAGGGCTAACCAACCTAGTCTACGAGCCATGTCCGGGCTAAAAAACTCTGGAAAGAAGGCGGTCGATGCCATCTTGAATCCACAAAAAATCGATGTTGCTTTCCAAAAGTTTACCAGACCGACCGTTGGGGCTGGCAAGACTATATTCCCGACTTCTCAACGGGACTTGAAAAATATTGGGTTCCATTTCGACCTTGGCGACCACACCCGTCAAGTGCCCGACAGTAGACCCAATGCGAAACCAGGCACTACCCGAACCAGCAATGTTATCAACTGGCAAGCAGCTGCGCAAGCTGAGTCAAAGTCAATCAAGGACTGGATTAGAAAGAACGGATCGCACGCAGTGATTCAGACACTTGAGGTCCCAGAAGACGCCACCAAGGAGGAGTTCGAGGAAATCCTGAGAACGGCAGCAAACAACCTCTAAGCTACCTATCTTGTTCAGGTCTCAACAGTCAACTTTTGTGGGCCTGCTCACGATGTGCAATCTGACCACGCGATTCGAATATGAATGGTACCTAGGTATTATGGTACCATTTACTCGGCGCCTCTCTCTTTCCTTCCTGTTTTGATTTTTTCCACCTATGCAATGTCGCCTCAATTGAAGTGTCTTTTGTAAGCTAGACCTTTTGTTATCTAGAAGAATACATATGGATTACACCTTGGTTTAGCCAAAAGAGAACGACTACCGGCACACTATTGACTACCTACACTCTTTTTGAATATTTCCCGCTGGGCATATTCTATTCAAAGCCTGTCGTATTTATTATGATACTCCCTTACTCTGTAGTATTTCGGACAGTGAGGAGCTGGTCACGATGCAAAGGGAAAAATTACTCACCACCAGGGGAAGGCATTATTTTTATTCAGAGGAGTAACCCCACTGCTGTCTTTACCATCATCGAGAAGTTATCAAGAATATCAAGTTTATCATCAAGTTTCGTTTCCGTCTTCATCAGTAAGACCTTTTTTCTATCAAAATCGTATTTGAGCGTCCTGTGGAGAGAGAAAAATAACCAATTCGTGACCAGCCAGTCAGGCTGAAGCCCTTCCGTCCGGTCGAGACGCACGCTCTGGTTGGACAGGAGAGGGTGCCAAGGAAGTGGAGGCCCGTGATTTCCTCCAACAGGTCACAGACCAGTATCAGACATCACGTGAAAGTAGTTAGCGGCTATGGACCTTACCTCAATTCCTAGCAAGCGTCCACGGCGTCAACTGATAAAGTGAACCTCCATCAGGCAACATCTCCATGACTGAATGTTTTTTTGCTACTTTTGTTTTTGAACAATGGTGAATTCCTTCCAGAGACTCGCTATTACTCGAAGTATATCATCCGCTCCCTGTCTGCGGAAACCGTTGGTCTGTTCCAGGCGGCCTGCCATGTCTGCTTCCTCCCGCAATCACCTATCCACCAGTCCACCAACATTCCATGAGGAATTCTTTCAAAACACATCACGACGATGGATGTAGGTAAAGCCTAGTATTACTTTAATCGTGACCACTAAACTCCAGCTAGATTCAACGAGACCGACCGTTTGAACGAACGATACGTCAAGTTTCGACCAACAGAGCTCCAACGGATCGCCGGCGAAGCAGTACAACAAGAATATTGCCCTGATATTATTAAGTTTGCAGAGGGAGGCTTTAACAAAGTGTTTCTTTTGCGAGCAAAGAATGGCCGTGAAGTGATCGCGCGAATTCCGACTCCCCTTGCTGGGCCTCCTCATTATACAACCGCCAGTGAGGTGGCTACTATGAACTTTCTGCGATCCATCCTCAAAATTCCGGTACCGGAGGTCTTAGCTTATTCAGCATCATCGGACAATCCCATCGGAGCGGAGTACATTCTGATGGAGCGAGTGAAGGGAGAGAGTCTTTCTTCACGATGGTTATCTCTCACTACCGACGAGACGAAAGATATCATGACACAAATTGCAGATATAGAGAGGAAGATTTTTGATTTCCATTTTCCTGCGTATGGAAGCTTATATCACAAGAGGGATCTTGACTTGGAAACCCAGATACCAATCGTGGAGGATTTCTGTGTCGGCCCTGTGTCTGCTCGGCAATTTTGGCATGGTGAACGAAGGAAACCCGAAATTGACCGTGGACCCTGTACGTTCCTCCCTTCCCCCGTTCCCCCTCTGTTCTTGGATTTTAGAAAAGTAATCCCCATGACCCGGACTGATTATTGTCAGGGCTTTCACCCCAGGACTGTGTTACGTCTGCGGCTCGCCGAGAGATGGCTGTCATTCAGCACCACGCCAAAGCTCAGCCTCGCCAAACTTTTCTTTTACCGACTAACCATGACATTCTTCCCTCTGAGCACACCTCGTTACTTTCGCGATTTCTACAATTAGCGCCTCATATCATCCGTCCGGGTTCTTATAGCGTTCCGACGCTGAGACATCCCGATTTGAGTCTGAGCAACATTTTGTTAGCCCCCGGATCAACCAAAATCATCAGTATCATCGATTGGCAGGATGCTGTGATATTCCCTCGCTTCATGCAAGTGGGTTATCCCGCATTCTGTGAGCACGATTCTTCCCAACCTCAAAGTATGCATATTCCATCTCTTCCCGATAATTTCGACGAGATGGGAATCGAACAACAGAGACAATGTAAAGCCGTCTTTCGCTTGCAAGAGGCCAACCTTTACTACACAGCCGCGACAGGCGTACACAATGAGCAACACATGGATTTATTGAGACTTCCTCATCTCGGAATGCGGCAGTATCTCCTTCGCCAGACAGGGTACCCCTGGGACGCAGACATAATCAACTTACGTGCTGCCTTAGTAGGTATCACTACTCCATCGGTATGGAGCAGCATCTCCTCGGCCGCTTGTCCAGTTGTGTTCAGCGATGAAGAACGAGAGGCTGCCATGGTTGAATCGCAAGAATGGAACGAGTCTGAACAGCTATTGTCCCAGGTTAGAGAATACCTCGATATAGATCTAGAAGGCGGCACCGAGCCAGATAACTTTGAGAGAGCGGTGGAGGGCAATCAAAAATTTCGTATGGAAATGGTTCGGCAAGCAGAAGTGGACCAGCGGGAGTTATGTTGGCGAAACTGGCCGTATAAGGACGATAAGGATGATAGCATGCCTCCTGGGGATATCTAACTTTTGATACGAATAAACTATAGTCCCTCCGCGAAAGTTTCCATTCGACCCGCACCCTATCAAATATATAGGTATCTCCCATTTGAGATTTTAGCAAATCGAACCTACGAATTTTAATTGAATACTATGTTGAGAGCCATCCCTAAGGCATGATTCTCTTATCCGTAGGATCAGCAACGCTACACCTCTTCTATCTTTTCCGCCGAAAAGCTCACTTTAGGGGCCAAATGAGGACTCCGATACTCGGCGCATGAAGGGGCATAAATAATAGGAAAATTACGATATTATTTAGATCTTTAGACAATTCTATACTTTTATAAGAGATCCTACTTCTAGTATCATTTAAACCTAATGCTGAACCCTATATGCTATATCATACCTAGACTTCTGTAGAACCCAGAAAATCCCAACCTAACCCAGACCTAACCTAACTTAGGTTGGGTTTTAGGGCCATACCTTCGTACTAGGGTTAGATCCGGGTTATGGCCTTTAACCTAGCTAGGTTATTATGGCCCTAAGTTAGATTATAAATAATATAAATACCTTAAATTATAGGATTTATAACTTATATAGATTTTCTTTATATATTTAAGTATTTACTTTATAATCCCTAATAGATAGAGTTATTTTTATATAGAATTATTTTTTAATAGGTCTAAGATTATTAATATTATAATACTAATAGATAAATAGTATATTAATAATTAATATCTAATTTAAATATATATAATTATTATCCTCTTAAGTTTTCTATTTTCTTCTTAAGCTTTATATCTAGGTTATTTTAGTAAGTACTAATAAATTAGGCCTAGAATTAATATTAATATTAATTAAAAGGGTATTATCCTCTAAGATACTATTCTCTTACTTTTTTATATTATTAATTAGTTTAATCTTAATAACCTTAAGCTTTTTATCTCTCTTTTTCTTTATAATCTTAATTTCTTCTTAGGAAAAGAACTTCTCTAAAAGCTTTACTTCCTATTCTTTTATATTAAATCTAATTATATAGAGGAATAATATTAGATCTTTAATAGTATAGGGCTTTATTTTAGGGTGATCATATAAAAACCCCTCATTGGATTATACCACCCCTTATTGGATTATACTACCCCTTATCGGATAATAACACCCCTCGTACTTGATTTTTCAGGGCTGCCTTCCTAATTAGGTCACCGCCTTCCCTAATACCTCACTATATTACTAACCGCCTTCTAAATTTACCCTATATAAGCCCTATAGGCTCTTCTCTACTAAAATTATTCCTACTTCTATCCTAGGATTATCGCATTTTATCTTACTATAACTCTATTAAAATAACTTCTTTATAACTTAACTATCTACTTTCTAACGACGAAGAGCCTAAGATCGTTCCTAAGTCGTAGATTAGCGTCCCTAAGTCTCTACCCGTACTACTAAGCCTTACTAGTCCCTCTATAAGCCTACCTCCCCTTAATCGCGAGTACTATATACTAGAGGCTATAATTACTAAGATTAATAGCCTCTATCGCGCTTAGAGCTATATAGTATCCGTCCTATAGTCTAAGCGTACTAAGAAAGGTATTAAGAAGACTATATAGCTCTACTATAATCGGGGTCGCTCCTAACGAGATTAGAGCCGTATACGGTATGACGATCCACATCATATGTCTTATTTGCACCTTCCGATCTCCTAGCTTGTTTACTTATTTCCTTTATCTAGATTGTTTGCTAGTTTTCCTTTATTCTTCTAAATATTACTAAACCTATTTAGGATGTGTAGGTTTGATTAGTTTATATATGAGATAGGGTATAAAGCCTTACCTCCTACTAGATCTCTCTCTCTCTTCTTTCCCTATCTTTGGTTTTCTCGTTTTTATACTCGATTCTCTTGTAGGTCGACTAGTAGGTGATATAAAACTAAAGATCCTCTTTATAAAGGCCTATATTAAGAAGGATACTATTTCGCTTTATAATACCGTATAGAGAGTTTACGTATAATAAGCTTATTCTTAGTGGAAGCCCGCTTTTGATTTCTCCTTTAGATAGCTTAGTATCGTGCTTCGGACGAATAGAGACTAGGCTACTCCGGGTTAGTTTAGTAAGCTAAGGCGGAGACCGACTATTCCCTTCTTTTCTTAACTTCTTTTTCCTTAATTTTTCTTCTTTTTTTCTATTATTCTAGGTATAGGTCTAGTATAAGCTTTTACCTAGCTTCCTTCTCTCGATCCTTATTAAAATAGATTAATAACTTTAATAGCTTTATAGTAAGCTTTATACTAAGTTTATAGCTATTATCGATAACCTTTAGTAGTAGATTCGAT